CTTGGGTATACAGAGATATATATTCGGAAAGCTACTGATATCACAAAATTTTTAAATATAAAAAGATTATACGATAAAAGTATAAATTTAAATACAAATTTAGAATATAACATACATTTCTGATTAGCCAGACACAACAGTTATAGTTTCAGTTTACTATTAATACGTGTAATTCTAACAGCGCCTACATTATTTACTGACTGTCGTATATGGCTAAACTAAAATGGATAATTAATATAGTCTACCTTCAATAAATGTCAAAACGGAACTCTACATACTATTATATAAAAGTAAAGGATCAGTATACATAAAATTTATTAGTTTGCAACTGAGAAAATTATCAAAAATCTAATATCAATAAAAAAAAATTTACCATTTTGCGGCCAAAACAGTTTATTAATTAAATTAATTAAGAAGACATGTTTTGGAATAGTTCGTATACCAATTCTTTCTTTTGCTTATATGTTCTTATGATTACATTTCTACATACTTCACACAATAGGCTCTTATTAACTTTTTCTGTTTAAAATTATTGTAAGTTAGCCTAATCTACGAGTTCCTCAGAATTTTAATAACTTAATAGACTTTTATCATAAATTCATCAGTATAGTGCAAAAATAAGTCTCACCCACAAATATCCTAGACCAGGGACATTGCGCTGTCATAGTATTTAGATTTTTGAATTTATTGTAATAGTTTGTCTATTACAATAAATTCAAAAATCATTTGAGTTATAATTTGATATTGAAGGTAGGATTACTAAATGCTCTCTCATCTGTAATTTTACGTTTTTTATTCCCTTTTTTTCTCAATAAATACGCCCATGCCCATTATTTGACATTTAATACTGTGAATCACAATTGTCATGACATTCCTCAAAAAATGCATTGTTCAGCCCTGTTCAGCTTGGTCGACATGATTAGACCGATGCTGTGTTCTTAGCTCTTATCTTCCATTTGTTCCATCCAATCCAAAAATATAAGTAGGTACTATCAACTTATTTCATATTTAAATACCAATATAATATAATATTTTACTCTCGACGTCTATGTGCTCTAAACACAGGTGGGCCAATTACAACGTTGCGCTTCAAGGAAGCTAACCAGTTTCTAAATTCTTCGTGTATTTAATTTAGCTTAATTGGTGTGTAGACAAGGCGGTAGGCAGTCGACCGAGAATCTAAGCCTCTTTGTTGGCGAAATCGCTCTTGAAACGGTACCCCCGCGAATTAAACAAGATGCAATCGTGTTTCTTGACAGTCACATAGCGACCCTCCTACACCTAGCCTGTTAATTTCAAAATACGTACATATATATAAATTAAAATAACACACAAAAATAAATTTTTTGTTCTATTTTTAATTACGATTGCAAAAAATCTGTATCTAAAATCGACAACTCTTATAAATAATACATATTTTTTTTATGTTACTGGAATAGCAAACAAGCGGACGGACCGTTACAAGGGAAGTGGTTTCCGTTGCCATCATATACTTGAACAGCAGTATTCGCACATCACGTTATCATGCGACACCCGAGATACCATTGCCATTACAGAAGACTAAGATGTCAGGCCTCGTTATCATGTAATCCACCTATAATATATTAAGATGGTAGACAGTATAATAGCTATGGACTCTTACGCGGAAATCCTCTTATGTATTATTAATAATTATATTATTAACATTTTTATGTACTAATCAGTTTTCGAATACTCGCAAAGTTTGCCTTGTATAGCATTAACACAGATTAAGTAAATAAATACAAAACATAAATTTAATCAACTTCCTATACTTGTTTTCGAATTTTCGCAAAGCAAAATTGTGTGTATAAAAAATTGTCAAGAGTTTTCCCTAATGGGAATATGTAGATACGAAACATCCAGGTTTAAGTCATCTTTTAGAATATCTCATAAGAGTTGCGATGATGTCAGATTAACTTCATCTTTTTATACATTGTACTGCTAAGTGTTCACAAAAGGAAAAGCTAAAATATTCGTGGGTGCTCAAATGGTGATGATGTGAATGGTACAGGAAATACGACGCGTGCGCAGTAAACTGATGTGGAGATGAGCGGCGTGGGCGCACCCCCGCTGCTTTATTTATTTGACAATTCACTACTTACCCGTTTAGCAATAAATGAATACTTTAAGTTGCTGTCTTTTCTAAATAGCTAGCAGCTTTTTTTCAAATGCCAAAGTGCGGTAAAACTTAGTTGAATTCTAAATAGAAAAGTAATATTTCACGTTATTGCTACTGTTCACAAATTATTTGAATCTTTAATTCATCGTATACACAAAATAAGTGTGTCACCATTTGGTCTCTTATCTCCATAAGCTTTTAGGTTTGTGACACCAAATGTAGAACAACAATAAATGCTGCCCCACTAAGACCATTCGAGCAATAAACATTATTCTGGAATTGTTCTTGGGTATCCGAACAAGGAGAGGTGCAGTGTACGATTACACGTGCGGCGATTGGTAACAGTTATCTCGGTATGTATTGTATAGGTATACAGTAATTGTACATATGTGTGAGTACTGCGTTCGGCGTGGGACGGGGCAGTGCATTTTTTGCGGGCCCGAGATGAACGGCAGGTCGATGAACCCCATTGGCTGTCTCGGCACCGAATTTCGCCAACGGAGCGCATCTTCCAGCACTTTTATACGGAGATGCATTTAAGTGAAGTTAACGTTCTTTACATTAATATATTTTTTTAATACACATTTAATAATTCTATTTATACTATTATTCATCGTGCCTAAGCACACATATGCCTCTTTTATGATCTGCATAAGGAGTCCCAAGTAACAGGTATTCTCTATAAATATATTTGAGATCATTATGTCAACTAGTATGGATTATCCTATATTACATGTCATTCAAGTCTCCACTTATCAATTGTCAGTTAATCAAACTATGTGACCTGCCTATTGGCACTTTTGTCTATAATTTGTACTATATCGTTGACTTAAGTTTTTTTCTGCAAAGATCTTCTTTTCAGAAGCATATCTCTATTGGCAGCATCTTAATAAAGCGATATGTGGCATTAGCTGCGACCACGCGGGCACGCTTTGTGAGCAACCCGGGCGGGCGGCACGGCCAGCCGTCAGTACTGCTGGTTATTCATTACCTAGCAACAAATACTCCAAAGTCAATTAATTAGCGGTTGTGCTCATTTTAAATTTCACAAGGTGAAAATTTTTACGCTTCTCAATATTGCCAGACGTGATAATTCCGGTGAACAAGCGTACCAACCACCAGATAAAGATAATGTGTAATATAAATTCAAAACGGTGCTTTCCCACAAATGTGATATAGGCTAGTCGAATAACGGTAAAATTATTGCTTGGTGGTAATTACTCGTTGAAAAAAAAATATATATAATAAAATAATTGAGCATTTGTTACTCTAAATTAAATAATAATGTCATTTATTCTTTTCATTTCTATGATACGGTTTATTTGAGCTCATATCTAAACTACTTATTTAATAACTTTCTTTTCGCACAAAGACATTGTGCTCTGTATTAGAAATCTTGTTTTAACATGTTTATAAAAACCTCTGAACTTTTTTGTCTTGATCAAGATCTGCAGTAGTTTTTGAGTCATCTTTAATAATACGGTTGAGTTTTCGTTGTCTTGCTAATAATGTAGTAAGACGACGAAAACTCAACCGTATATATGTTGAAATTTAGGTACCTAGTGGATTTTCTCCAAAAGTTTTAGAATACCTTTAATTTGTCGAACAAAACTGCATGTAATCCTCTTTTAAGTCGCTACTAGAAATGTGATGTTAACCGTTACTATTATTATAAGGCAATTGAAATTGTATCAAGTTGCTTAATTATTAATGGACTTTTGAAGGTCTTCAATATTGACCTTGTTTTAGCCGTTGGCACGAGGAATGGTATAGAGCTCGCATTATTAGGATGATAGCTAGGAGACGTGTAAAAAACTATTGGGTATTTCAGTAAAACGAGTATAAGAAGCGTATAAACGAGCTTTTAGAAGTCACGCTTCGTGCGCCGCAAAAAGTGGCACACGTGATCAATGCTAATATGCTGCCTATTCTGCGACGTGCAGTCTAATTTTTCTTGTTTTGCTCAACTGCTGTTGGAGTTATATTGATAGTTGAGACTAATTTTATTATTTGACAAATGTTTTCATTCGATCTTTCATTTTACATTCTTTTGTTGCTACATTAATTGCCACCAAATTATCGTTAAGTTAAATAAAGTATTGATTATTCACTAGAGTGTGCATGGTGCAGAATGGTTCGTAGCGTGTCCTCGGGCAGGTCACGCGCCGCACACAAACTCGTTTTACAGCGCACTTTCGCCGCTCTTCGTCTGCGCCCGCGTTATGTTGCTTGCTCACTTCCACAGCCCTTCCCCTGCTTCGACCTATAAACAGGTTATATCGATGCGTTGCAAATTTGTTACATATAAATCTAAAAAATCTAAAGTTTGCTTTGTTCTCTTCATGGGTTGATATATCCACAAAATTGTTCTTCTTTTTGCGCAAAACAATGTTAAGATATTATTTTGGCTCTTAGGTGCCAAAAAGTTTAATTTTAAAAATACTAAATTTTTTAGTCCATAAATGATTACCTACACTTTGTGCTTTTTTGGCATGCAGAGACTTCTCCTTGATAAAATTTGTAATACTTGCGTGCGCAATTGAGGATTGTCGACTGTTTTAAACAAAGTCCATGCATGATAAAGTACAAAAGAAACTACTTCTGCTCAAGGAGTGGAAATAATCGGTGCAACACATTGACCGGCTAAAACTCTACACAATCGACGAGGCGGACGGAAGTATGGCAGTGGCGAAAAGCTCGCAACTGCATGAAGAGAAAGGAAGCAACGCGCCGCGCGCTGTGATAAGGCAGCCGGCTGGCGTCAGACGCGGGGTGCGCGCCGTGCGCGGGGTACGCGGCGCGGGGCGAGGGGTGCGCGCGCAGCGGCAGCCCCCGCGTCGCACCACTCGCCTCCCGTCAGTCGCCCGCCGACTCCGCTTGTGCTTGTGTGATTCGCGCTGCTCCGTGCACCGCACTCGTGCTCCGATCACGACGCGTGCCGCCAAGCTGTGGCCGCGAACGCGACCTCTACGCAACCGGCGAAACATTTCTCCTAACTTACGTGCAACTTGTTATGTTATAACTTACGGACATTTACATCCCTTACCCGGCTTGTTTACCTCTCATCATGTAAGTGTTATGTTCTTTCTATTAAATGCGACATAGTCTCGTCGAATTCGGAACTCGCGTCGAAGTGTGTGTCAAAGTTAGTGATCAAAAAAGCTGGTGAATTCTTAGCGATCGTGCGGCGTTTTTACTAGTGTTCATTGTTTGTGGACGGAGTTGAATCACAGGCGATTTCCGAAATTCGACGGTAAAAGTTCTCAACAATGTGAGCGAGCGGTTTGTTTAAACAGCCCGGTGGTTGGTTCCGCTCGTTCCAGCGTGCCCATCCGTCTCCGCATGAGAGCTTTTGCTTGGTACCGCTCATGTTCGATGACTCTGTGCAAGCAGTGGCTCATATGCTGCACGCCGCCGGTTCCAATGTTAAAGCTTTCATCGATACTGCCTATAATGAAAAAGTTACCCTAAGCAGAACTCTTCCCTAATCCCCTGTGAAACTTTCTTTCCGCATTACTCGCCTCCTTCTAATATAGCGTTAGAAGTTCGTTGTGCCGTAATATTATTTCCTTCCCCACTCTTATAATAAATCTGTGTAAGGCTATCATCAGAAACTTAGTTTCTTCTCTTATTCTCTCAAAGTTAAAATCAAATTTCATATTTCTAAGTATAATATATAAATGTCTCGTAACTTTTTAGTAAAGGATCTCTAAAGATTTTGTCTGATAAATTTTATAACTTGTGCTCGAAAATCCAATTTGATGTTGTTAGCAAAACGTTCCACTCATATCTCAATACTAATCCATCATCACTCTTATGTCTATCTTGGTCATGTTTGCATTACTACAAATAGTTGCGTAACCGTCTAATCTTATCATCTATAAAAAGTATGACATCATCAACATTGGTTTTACACCAAATGTTATGATCATAACATTCAACTTCTTAAAACAATGATAAATTCAATGTTTGCATCTTAAAATTCCTCAAACAAGTGAATCATTGAATTTCCAATTTTATAAAAATCCCTGAGTAATGTCTGCATCTCATTCATACAATCAAAATAAATTGTCAGCGCATGAATTCTAAGAGTCTAAACACAATATATTATTACAATGAGATTATTTAAATTCTGTTAAATATTATACAAAATTGGAAACTACTTAAAAAGTTTATATTCACACTTCTATATTTTTACGTAAGTACAATATTTTCTAATGACAGGACGTGTTTGGTCACGTTATTTTAAATTACACCTTTTTATTGGCTTTATTAAAGTTCATTATAGTTTGCATGCTTCGTCCAAATGTAACAGCTGCCCAGAGCTACCTGCTCCCCAACAATAAAACGGTGCCTACACAATTGAGAGGCCGGTCTATATTATTATTATTATTGTTTCACTATACACGAATTACTCTAAAATGTGTTTGTAGCACACTTGTTGTGTACTTCTATTTTGTTTATAGTAATTTACGTGTTACTAATAGAAATGATTAATAAAAGTTATTTCTGTTTTCCAAAAATATCCGAAGCATTCGATTTTACATAAATGTATGACAATTTTTTTTTTTTATGTTTACAAAATAACATACATATTTGTAAAATTTACAAGAACTACAAAATTCAAAATTAGTTTAGTGAAATAACAATAGAGTTAAAAACAGAAAACCAAAATGTTAAGGGCACACGATAAAATATTATTTTTATGCTGCAGTTACTGAAGAATATCATAGCAAGACCGAAATGGCCGTTGATAACTACTTATCGGAATTAATTATCTTATCTCTGTGAAAATTAAACGGATGTGACACAGCTAAAGTTCCAGATTACGCAGCCAAATTAATCATTGATAAGACGCTGCAAACGGCTTTTGCTGCGCTAAATGTTTCGTGCTGAAATTTAACTAATCTTGAACAATTACACATTTGTGATAAATTATTACCGACTAAAATCTAGTAGCATCGTCATCATATTGAACATTTATTCTAGGTCTTGCTATCTCCCATTTCGCTTCTCAAGATACGGGAACAAATCACTAAAATTTAAAGCACCACCAACATGGATCTCTGCAAAATTTTTGTCATCTCCAATGTTCTGTATACGAGTGTATGAGTCGCATATAGACAAAAAGTTTGATATTGTGAGAAGTTAACGTAACTCATTGCCACTTCAGCTTCACATTGATACATTACGAACTAAATATATATACTGTATGTATGCTATTTTAAAATGCTGGTTGAAAACAAGATTTAATAAGGAATACTTTGATTCATTAACAAAATAGGTACTAAAAGGGGATTCATATATATTTCGTTTGATATTTTTTTAACATAAGCAATACAATTACATAGTGCAATAATAACTGAAATTTAATAAATTATATTTACTTTCTCAGTATTTATGAAGAAAACACAACGTCCAAAAAAAAAATGCACATAAACGCTATTTATATTAATATAATTTATTTTCACGATATTAATCCAAATCTGTTTTTGATGTAAATATTGACTTAATCACACTCCACCAATCAAATAAAATTAACAAAGTTTTAACAACATAGAAGAGATGAACATTGTAACAATGTTTCTGTTTAAAAAATTAACATTCGGTTTAAATTGAGAATAAAGAAAGCGTAAATAATTTCATTATGGCATTTTTCCACATATTGCTAAATTATATATGAAACTCGGCGAAATGCCTAAAACTTAGAAAGTAAAATACACCTGCTTTGTTTCTTTTAAAAACATTATTACGAATAAATTACGTACAATTAATGTGCAGTGCAATTTCTTTTTCGTTGTTTCTGTAACATAGGCACTGGGATTCAGCCTGAGTGCAAGTTCGATAAGGCGTGCACATTAACGAGCGCGCTGTGGCGATAGCGTCCGAATCGTGTAATTTGCGCCTCGTAAATTTAAGTAGTCGCAAATTTTTCCCTCTCTTGCTAATTACCAATCCTCTGACGTCCTCTGAGACTGCTAAATGTGCTTCGCGCACGTCCAGAATACAAATTGGTAGTCGGGTTCTGCTTGCTTTGCCCCGCATATGTTAAACAATAGCCTTTGTTTTAGCTTCAAGTCTGACCTACGTACCAACTAATAATCAGTTGCGTATAACGTATTGGATATTGTATTGGAGATATCAAGTCCATTTTCAACTTCATTCTTTTGAATAATTTATAATAACAATTTGATTGTTTTTGGTCATTGAAACTGCATTGCATATCTGATTTTTGTATTACTGTATAGATATTGCAAAAAGATATCCTGAACCAAATAATGGCACAAAACTATGGTAATAACTAGCTCGGACAATATTTTTAATATTGTTTGGTTTTCATCGAGTTCTATCGTTTTAGGTACATCGAGGTGCTAGTAGTAGATTCTTCGTTATGTTTGTAATTTATATTAAAAATTTCATTATTATAATTTTGTGTTATTCATATTAACATAAAATCATTAATACTTAGTTTCATACTAAAAATAACAAATTATAATATACTAACTCACATCCTCATACAACACATTAACGCAAGTTTTTCCCTAACGCTGAGTCAACTATCGCTCACGGCCAACAAATGTGGCCCATACGCAGAATAACAAATGGTGACATCACTGAGAACTGCCTGCAAAATGCCGAATAAAGTTTCGATTTTGAACCATCACCCCTTGATTTATGACTCTAGTTGCTCTGCTCCCATGTTTGTATTCATGTACATTGTTTTTCAAATTACAAACATCATCAGAAATACAATGTGAAACTATATTATCACGTATTATTTAGGATCGGAAGTAGAATTATCAAAATTAAATACCCAATCATTCAGCTCTTGTGTATGTTTGTCTGACTATATCATTAATTAAGTCAAAGTATTATTACCGTATGCTAATGTTAAGACTATATCTATTATACAATGAGACATCATAATAATATCAATTATAATTATTTTTATTTGCCAGATTATAAAGATTCAGTAATGACAATCATTACCGATAAATAATATAATACTATAAATGTTAGTTGTAACAGATGTTCAGATATTTATTGCGAAAAAAAGTCTACGGAATGCATTTTAATAAAATTTGGTAAATTCCTAGATTAATATTTAGCATATTATTTTGTCCTGACTAATTCTTAAATAATGCTATGAAAAAATAAAATAAGAATTGGGTGTTTTGTAATGCTAGCTTTTTGAAATATACAATTACTGAGTTATCTAACAGGTATAGCTATTCTAAAAAATAAGGTATTATTTTTGGTCGTTTAAATTTATCTAACGTGTTTCGTGAAACGATTTCACTTTTGTTATTAATTATTATATTATATATATACCTATATAAATAAAACTGAACAAAATGTTAGATTTTTTAGCAACAGCAGTGTAATGTTCTCTCGTATCGATGAAGCGTGTCGAAGGTGAACTGCGGTGGTTTTTGCCCCAGCCACGTCTGCGGCGAAGCGCAATACCACATTCCAAGGTCGCTTAATGCTGAAGTCTGACTTGCTTTCCGCCAGTCTTTCTATTATAACATGACCTTGTCTGTTTTTATTATCTACCATTCCAATTCATTATTTTGGTCATGAGACTGATTACTAATTATCAGTGATAATAAAGGAGGCTGCTTCGGGTATTGCGTTTATAAACAACTGTTACTTAATATTATTTGATGTTATCCATATCTATAGTCGTTTATTTATGCTTTTTTTAGGTATATCTTAATCTAATTAAAAGACAAGGCACTTCACGAATCTTTATTTCATGTCAACAACAAACATTATAAATAAATCACACTATGCAGTTTGAAATAATATTTTCTACGACTATCTTTAAAAATAAAGACTAAAAATTATATACATGCATTAAGTAGCTTGCATAATAAAAACAAATGTAAAATTAAAGTGACAGGCAATTTTGATTTGAAGGTAACAACCAAACAGTGCAACAACAGCAACGGTTCCTTTCTAAAGGCACCACGTGTGCGACCTTACCTCGATTTCAGCCCGGTTTAATCAATCCAATATTACAACACGCTCATATTTACTGCAATCACTTACAATTCATAATATAAAAAAAATGGAGACCAATAATTATTAGCAGAAAAAATTACTTCATTAATTTAGTGCAAAGTATATATTTTTGTGAGCTCCTCTTTGTATCCTTGTTACCTCTACGGATGGATACTTTTAATCTGGCTGGCTTTCCGTATGCTCGTTGTTAATGTTGTATCTAAACGTAATATAACCAATTCTGTCTCGTTACAAGTCCTTGAGACAAATAGATATTACAAGTGTTCCGGTTTTCCAATTTTGGTACGAAACATTGATACATATACCTATGGCGTATATGTATTAATGTTTCGTACCAAAATTGCAATCCAATTGCAAATCTGCAAGTAACGCAAAGTGCAGGTATGAAATTGAGTACGGTTGTGTGGACACCATTTACAGAATTCTGGAAGTTTACATACTGTTATTTGAACTATTTCCTTCAATTTCTTGTATTTTTGACAATTGTGAAAATTCTAAAGTTGACTGATTTTTATAATTTTCCGATTTTATTAAACATAATTTCGGAAATAGTTTTCAAGTTTTTCAGGAAAGCTTAATGCATTCCGATTGTCTTGATAGCTTAGTGGTTAGAGCGCCCTCCAGTAATGGTGGGAGACCCAGGTTCGAGTCCCGGTCAAGACCGTGGATGCTGACTGCCTGAACAACTCGAGTTGTTTAATTATTATAAGTAAACTCAACCGCACTCAAGTATCTGCACAATCTACATAAAGTTCTTAGATGGTAACTTGATCGAATCGTCTATCTAACAAAAGGCCCCGCGATCAACTGTTTTTTCGCCCTCCCACCACCCCATCGCTCCCAACCGCTCTCACGAGATTCTTATTTAGATTCGCTTCCGTCTGATTGCTCTTGGTAATCTTTTCACTAGGTTATTGAATGTCTTCCCCGTGCGTGTCGGGCACTGAAGGCACCTCCAGGAATAAGACGCCGATATCCTTTGAAGCCACCATTTCTTGTTTAATGTTCAAAATGAAATGACGACGTTTGTTAGCTTTATACTATTTTATTTGTTCACAAATAATTGTGTTAATCTTAATGAAATAACAAGGTTTATGTTACAAACTTATACATAGAGATAACTTAATATACTAATTTAAGCTAAATTCGTTGATAATAATTTATGAATGCATAAAGGATTATCATCATGAAAATAAATGTGAGTTAGAAATTTTTATAAAAGAAATATAAAATATTTTTTTACTATCATATATAACTGATTTGGATTGAAAACAAAGTATAAGCGAAGTCAAAATTTCATTGTCGGTACACATTTTTTTTTAATAATCTGTTTTCTCCAAGTACCATGAAAACCCTTAAACGATATATATATAATATAGTACATATACAAATATATATATATATATATAGGATGATATATAATAGTCCAAAATATAGTAACATTAGTATATATACTATTTTTTGGGAAAACATGCATTGAAATACCCCTAATGTTACTATATTTTGAGACTGAGAGACTTCTTGGCATATTTCTTAACCTGATAATATAGAAAGTTTAGCAATTTTGTTCAAAATCTGTAATAATGTTTTATCTTCGGTAATAAATTAATTCATTACATAAACAAAAATCAGAGTTGGTTGATTGTTAGAATACTGCTATAAAAACATCACTTTTTTTTCCACTTGTATCGATGACGTTCTACTAGCGAGCGCGGGGCGCATTAACCTACAGAAAAAACACAGTTGCATGCACGTCGAAAATAAAATTTTGAAGATTTATGCTCGATGGAGAGCGCGACGTTACGTTGCCGCACACCGAGTTATTTTCAACCGGGTTATGCTTTAAATAGCACATTACGATAGGATTTGGTTTCACTATTTTTCCCTGTTCCCGGCCTCAGTCGTTACGTTTCAACTGGTATCGCCTACGCAATTTTTCTACGAGATGATGCTCTTGACAACTATTGGGAAAATCTCCAAAGTAACGACAAGTCGATAATGAAGTCAACTTCATTAATAATCGTAGGTTAGTGATTATTGTTAGCAGTTTGAATTTGATACTTAAAGCTATTAAATTATTACATAAAACTAACGTCATCGTCATCTTTACTACAGTAGAAACAGAGAATTATAATAATAATAGCTATACCTATATAACTACTATACTATAGGTATAGTTTTACTATTTTCTGCTTAATCTGTAAATAATCGAGAATGGACTAGACGAATTCTAATGGTTTAGGCCGACATTATTAAACAACAGACTCGCTTAACCGTCGCGTCGGCATCATTCCCCACACTGTTCAGTTGTCACGGCCTCACCCCTAAAATTGTACACCAACCACTGTCCATTTGCTAATTAGCTAACACACACAAACTAACAATAATCACCGAAAGTGTGCACATTATTGATTCAATTAATAGAATTCAATAGAGAATAAATGAGACTATATGCGTACACAAACAGAATTTACCACTTGGTAATTATAACGCTGATAATTGTTTTGAATCCATCTGCTTATATCTTCTTATTAAACTAAACATTAGAGTATTACATGTAAAATTTATAAATAATTTCTATAGTTTACGCTATAACCGAAATATACATACTAGCTGTGCCCGCGGTTTCATCCGTGTGAAATTTATAGCCTATATGTTTTTTTGATGTATAAGCTATATTACTGTAAAGTTTCATCAAAATCCGTTTAGTAGTTTTGCGTGAAAGAGTAGCAATCATTCATCCATACTCACAACTTTCGCATGTATAATATTAATAAGATGTTAAAATTCAAACATGTCAAATGTGTGAAATGTGGAATATTTAACTACGTAAATTGATATATATACCTTATTATTTTGATGATATACGATCATCAAAATAATATCTTATGTCTACATACATAGAGTGGTGATGTACCCAATAAAGACAGTAATTACATCCAACTACAAAGATAATTGTTAAGTACTGTTCATAGTTCATCTCATGTTTGCTTTATCGTTGGCCGGTAATGGATTACTGTAAAGTTTATTAGTAGTTGCTCGACTGCATTCTGTATGTTCTTTTTTCGTACTTACATTAATCGCTATTCTATCTCTTATTCTATCTTCTATGTACTTCTAGTCTAAATTCACCTCAAAATTCCCAACAGCGTTATCTAGCGCGGGCCTATGAACGGCCGCCGCGCGTGCTTGCTAACCCGGTAGCCGCTTGTGCTTGGCTCCGGGGCGTAACGCCCGGAGAGTAACCAGTGTGTTTTGTTGTTCGCAGAATTGAGTCCCGCACCGCACCGGCTTGCTCGCTGACCGCCGAGCCGCTAATCTCGCTTTTTTCGCGCCCCACCGTCGCCCGCCCAGAACCGCACCGGCCGCCGCCATGCTCGCGCACCAAGCACCGCTCGCCCTCTACTAAACTAAATCGTCAACATCGATCAGAACGCGTGTGATAATAATATTTTAATACTTGCCTAAATAAGCTTGCAACGTCGGTGTCTTTAATTCTAACTTAATTGTAAGATTAATATTTTGTAAGTACTTAATCGGCGTCGTCCCCGCGCGTTTAGCTGCGGTGAAGTACGCGAATTGCGGGAGTGATCTACTAGTGTGTGGTAGTGAAGGGTGCGCGAGTGCCGACAATTGGCAGAAAACAGCAGTAGCATTTTGCCAAGCAGTGTAAGAAGTGCATGCTAAGAGCGCGCGGGCGCGCTCTCCACACGCGGCCTATGCGCCGTACTCGCATAGCGTAACTGCGCGCACAACTTTTCAACTTTGACTTCTGTGGCAACGATGGCCACCATGGTGAACATGAATAGCCTCCTCAATGGAAAGGACTCACGCTGGCTGCAACTGGAAGTGTGCCGGGAATTCCAGCGGAATAAGTGTTCGCGACCTGACACCGAGTGCAAGTTCGCGCATCCACCCGCAACTGTAGAAGTGCAAAATGGAAGAGTCACTGCCTGCTACGACAGTATTAAGGTATGTTGTAATGTAATATTTTTTTTATATTCCTATAGATATATCCTTATTACCAAAATACACACAAAACATAATTGTTTTACACTAGACTTACAGATTTTCTGTGTGAAACGGATATGAAACTTAAGATTTGTTAAAAAATAAATTTACACCGGTCCGATTTCCGGATGAATAAGAAGCAACCCTCAAGGCGACATTTCGCCGCCGCCATTCTGCTCGCCGACCTCAATTTCAAGGCTAGGTTAGAATTGGTGACGTCATCCGCACACCGCCGCCACTGACGCCGCCGCCGTCTGCTATTGTATTAGAATTGTCACTATACCAAAATAATGACTAGGACGATGGAATTCTACTTCCAATTCCCTGATTTAAAATTTAAATGGTAACGTTGAATCAAATGATATCGGTCAGTTGCATGCATACTATGTGATTATAGTGTTATCAGCATACAAAAATAGATAAGGTGTGGGTGGGTACTACACACGAATGGCATATGCGATAAAAATTTAAACTATTATGAAAACACGCCACAATAACGACTATCGAATAAATATATGCCAATGTGCATTAGTCACACAGAATACTAATACTAAATATAACTAAAATAATACCACTATTTCCACCTTGGTGAAACGGCCTTAAAATTCTTTTTCACAGATTTGCAATACGACAAATATATTCCTTAAACAAAGACATTGAGATAAATAAAAGGCACTTTCTCATTTCTTAATATTTCCCTTCGCATTTTCCTTTGATGCTCGGCTGAATAACGCGATCAAGAGATAAAACGCACTCGGATCGGGCGGTGTCCTGCTCACTCGGGAACATTTCTTCATCTACCATTTCATTCGCTATTCAATATACGGATGCACTGAATCTACCGCTGCTCTGCCTCAAGCGACGGCAACTTCTTGGTGTGCACCGTGGGCGGTGGGTGACACACGGCTACCCCAATGACATGGAACCTCTTTAGTATCAACGTTTATTTTTACGTCTTTTCACCGTTTGGTAGCAATAAGTCAGCGCTATTACTTTTTTTCATATTGGCAATTTTCCATGTTCTTCGTCGTCTATGATGTATCAAAATATGTGTCATAGGTACATAATATATCGTGTTTTTAAAATCGTGTTGTTGTTGTTATGTGACTGTGTATATTAAGATATATATCTTACATATATAAGAATAGATATTTATAGATGACTTGCTAAGAGACCGCTATTATGAACCCCGTGACGTTAAACAATGAGGGAGTATGTACGCTGTATTGTGCATCCTTTGTGCATTCTGGTATCGCCTATCGCGCTAGCACATTCCGCACAATGACGCGTCGCCGCACTACCATCGCTCGACCCACTCGTCTGCCGCAACGCCAACGAAACCTTATCACATGTCCTCGTATCTCCCCTACCCCCCCATATCTAATGGAATTCCTTACTCGCTCTTAGGAACTATACTGGTACATTAGTGAACAAAAATCGTTCCTATCGTTATATCTAAAATGTTAACATTTATTTCCGACAAATTTAAGTAATCCACATGACACATGATTTAACCCGTTCTTAATCTTTTGTTGACCATAATGATCTACTGTAATTGTAAATTGTACTATTTATTTAAATTGCTGTTTACAAAAATACTTAATATTTCGTATTGCGGAACCAATAATCTCCGCCTTGCCCTGTGTATTCCTAATTTCCATATTTGCTAGTCTCATATATTATTACAAAAACAACTCAGTCCTAAGACAGCAGCATGTAACAATTTAATTTTTCTTTTTAATATTCTTCATAAGAATAATATGCAAAAGCGGATTATTTGTGGAAAACAGTAGCTATTAGCAGCAGTAGCGTATTATTCTATCAATCAGTTCTCGTAGTTCAATATATTTTATATTTCAGGACATATCAGAAATTTAAAAATTATAATATAAATCAAAATATCTTCATTAATATTCCCCCTAACACATATAATAAGTTAAATGAAGTTTGTGGAATATAGTTTGATGGATAATCGAAATATTTCGTGTACTTTCATAAATTTCTTCAACTCGCTTTAATATATAAAAGGTGACAACAACTTTGGTACATTCACGCATTACCCCGACACTACGAAGTCATCGATGTAATCGGGCTCTAATCAAACAAAACCGCTATTCGTCCTGCAATTCGGCATCTCGCATCCCGCGACACCCCACGCCCACGTTTACGCGAAACGTCTACCGTGATTAAGCCTTCAATTACGCGATATGACGAGGGGGTCATATTTGATTAGGCTTCGTGTTGTGTTGATTAAACAGAGCTTATTACCTTATTCACTTACCTCACCATACGTGTTACACCAACCGATGAACGATTAGCCACACTATCGAACCGGATTCGACATATCTGCGTCACCTTTAGCCTATCTTGCATATGACATTAAAATGGCCCTGAGTCAATCGTGAGCATATTTATAAATTAACTCCTTTATAAAGCTTAATTTTAAATTCAATTTTATTTTGAGTTAATACTTTGTTATTATTAAATTAACAAACTATGACTGTATATTACCAGAGCTTTTCTACAAAATCAAAATTCAAATCAAAACTTAATTGAACTCAATAGCGGCGGAATTCAGAATATTGTATTTAATATATAGTTAAAGTTTTCTATATATAATCTAAATCACGTTTCATCTTATATACAGAATCTATATGCTGTGTAAACACTACTCTTTATAATAGAGTTTATAAATACCATCTGTCTGAGTTCTTTAAAAAAATATACGTACTTTTGTGCTACACCGAGTGAGTTATAATTGCTAATTGTCTGAAAGTAAAACCTCGATTATTGTATGATTCCCAAATTTCTAACCTTCAAACATATGTAGTCTATGTAATAGCTTCCCTTTTCCTTATTCCGATTTTCGGCAAACAAGATAAACTTTTATGTTTGAATCGGCTTACGTTTGAAACATCAGCAACATATATTTTCATGCATTACTTTACTCGACAGTAATGTAGATCTCCCATCTTTAGTAGCATCATCACAGAAATGTATACTTTTTCACATAAAAAGAAAATTTGAAATATTAACTGCTAATATGTGGCACGCACAAAATATACCTGTATAATTATTATATGCATTAGTGAAAGTACTAGTGGGTGGATGAAACTCGGTTTGCGGACTTCGATTCTCGTGGGTCGTGATGAATGCACCGATTGATGGTGTACGATTGCAAACAACCCGAACATAGTCTTTACTTTGCCGCCCACTCATTCACTTTCATCGCATTAAGCATTTGTCGGTTCTGCCACATTATACTTATATATATTCTCTCTTAGTTCTATTCAGAATCATAGACTCATCATTTATTTAGCATTGCTAATTCTCTTAAAGGTGTTGCAAACATTGTTTACCGAGTCGTTTTAAAGTTCATAGTCAAGCACCTGCAGATATAATATTACGTAACATTACAAATATAAAATTACAAAGTGTAAAATCCAAAATTAGCTAGCAAAGTGGCACACCGCCATCCTTACTTCTTGGAAAGTATAAATTGCTTCCAGCAATTCACCCGACGCACTCGATATTGCAAAACTTTTCTGTTGTATTTCTGTTTTGTTACATTGGAACAAAAGTAGGTATACCGAATTTTCGTCGCAACTATCATATTATTCCTAGAATTTATTTATATTTAAATGACATATAGGTATACCTATTTAGAGAAGTTGAGTCTTCTCGACATGCTATTAATTTATTTTTGAACTCTAATTCAGCATTCAACTTCAGGTTCCACGAGTGTAGTGCTGGCTTCGACCTTAAATATGCTCTAATAAATACATATTGTTTTCTCTAAATTGAACTGTTGCCATGTAGATGTGAGGTGAAATATAATAGTTACTTTCATTTAAAAATAGTGATTATTTATCTGGTGTATTTGCATATCTACTAAATATTTAATATCGACTACGTATTTGTATTAGGAATGGCAAATTATTCTGATATATATGTTCCGTCTGTTTATTCGCCGTTCTTAATTAAATTTATCCTATATGCCACAAGAGCTATCGTTTGCATTCGTTTTTAAAAATCACTTAATCTGACCCAGATTAAACGGCAGCTTGAATCAACTAATTGCTGCATAAAAATTCGTTCTCCCTTTTAATTGTGCTCGCTTCATCTATAATACCTTTCTTAATATATATTTTCTGCGAAACGTACATGTTAATTAAATTTAAGAATAATATCATTATCATCTTTCAAAGATTTTTCTAATAGTATGTTAAAAGATCCACGACAATAAGATACCAGCCAAGCAAAGTGACAGATTCTACATTTTTACTATTTTATCCTATGTGGTTTTAATAAAAACGTTAAAAATATGGATAACAGATCGCTTCGGATCCAGACTTGTTACGTAGTTATAAATTACAGAATTTAAGATGTCCGACTTTCACATCGTGTGATAAGTGGGGTGTCACGTTCCGTTCGCTCTCAGATTTCGCCATTCGCCGTTCATATTGCCGTAGGTACTTACATTTTGTTCGCACTCTTTGCAGGCTCCAAACCCAGACGAATATTTCGATATTATACAGATAGTTATTTTGCATATTAACTTAATTAATTAAATAGGTGAACCCTATCACCCACTACAACACATACTGTCATCATTGAGACGCACGTAAAATTTCTAAATTTTTATCTCACTTCGTAGTCATGTTTATGAGGAATGTTCACATTTACAGTACTATAAAACGAATTTCGTATGGAACACACGAATATTCACCACTGAATTCGTGCTTCCTAAAAACGTCAGTCTAAATTTAATCTTTCCACCGGCGCACAGCGCGGATGAAAAATACTGTCGTGCCTTGTCCATTAGGCAAAGTATATTTTTAGATAGCGCTTTCAACTTTATAAACTTTTATACCAATTTCAGTCGAAGCTTACACCTGTTATAATAATCGTAATTTATAACACCTAATACCTCTGTTATGTAAACATGATTGATCGTTTAG